ACAACACACACACACACACACACACACACACACACACACACACACACACACACACACACACACACACACACACACACACACACACATACAGAAGACATAGTGACAACCTCGCGGGGATAGTCAGGGAAGCTTCCTGTGACCTTCAAACGTCGAGATTTGATAAAAACTCGATTTTTGCAAAACGGGGTGAAAACAATAACTTCCCGATTTTTGAAAATCTTCGATTTTCTTAGCGGGAAGTTAAAAATTTTAAATGGCCCAGCATGGGTTGACCCCACTTGTAAATAATTACTTTTAATTGTTATAAAAATCTAAAAAATTATTAGATGTCTGTTAAATTCAGTATCATGTTTTATGGTATGCATAAATTTAAATTTTGTTTGACATAGAAACTTTTTATAACAGGATCTGAAGCCCGCTAATTTATTAATAGACAATGAAGGGATATTAAAGATAGCTGACTTTGGACTGGCAAGATTAATGTATGATGATAGTACCCAACCATATTCCCATCAAGTGGCAACGAGATGGTATCGAGCGCCAGAATTATTGTATGGATCGAAAATTTATACGTCTGCTATTGATATGTGGTCAATTGGTTGTATATTCGGGGAGATGATTAATAGTTCTCCATTATTTCCGGTAAGATGATACGTAAGACTGCATTTAGAAACCTTTTTTTTGTTCCTTCAAAAAAATGAACTTTTTGACACAATGTGTAGGGTGAAACGGATATCGAGCAACTAGCAATCGTTATAAAGCAACTGGGCTCACCAACACCAGAATCGTGGCCTGAATTAAAAACTTTACCTGATTATAATAAAATAACTTTTCCGTATCAGAAAAGTGTACCATGGGAACAAATTGTCCCTGAAGCATCACCCGAAGCTTTGGATATTGTGCGTTCCTTATTGATTTATAATTCATCTAAACGACTGACTGCTGAAGAGGTAACATGTTATTATTTATTATTAAAGTATATATAACATACGTAAATCTATTTATAATTTAACGAAAGTGTATTCTTTTGTATTAGGTATTAAAACATGATTACTTTTACGTACCACCTTTCCCGTGTGACATCAAACAGTTACCAAAACCACCAAGT